GTGTTTGTGTGTGTGTGTGTGTGTGTGTGTGTGTGTGTGTGTGTGTGTGTGTGTGTGTGTGTGTGTGTGTGTGTGTGTGTGTCTGTGTGTGTGTGTGTGTGTGTATCAGACGGCGAGCAGGAGGAGCTCTGGCTGCAGGATGCTGGTTTGTCTCCGCTGGTAACAGGTGAAGAAGAAGACGTCGATAAAGCCGTCCTGTTGTCGACTCTCACTAAGACTCAAGCAGCGGCGGTTCAGAGACGCATCGACTCGTACACCTGCTCGCTGCGCAAGAGGAACAAAATGCCAGCGCGACACGTCAGAGACGTCTTTGCCTCCCCCATTGCTCAGGTAACAGCACACCTGTGTGTGTGTGTGTGTTTATAATAATATTTGATTTTGGACCCACTAACAATTTAAGGGGCCATTCACACAGAATGCATGAATGTAAACATGCGAGACAGACGGGTTTGACCATTGTGCTCGAGTCTCGCATCTTTTGCAGTGTCTCGCACATGACACAGCGTCCACGCTCTTCTGAACTGAGCTGGACGATCACATCACTGAATCAGCAATGAACTGACTTTAACTGATAAACGGACTGTTTTCTATCGTCCTCTTGCATTATCAGCACACGCTTTTCCTGTTTGACACTGTAAAGCTGCTTTGACAATCTGTGTTGTATAAAGCGCTATAGAAATAAAGGTGACTTGACAAAGACAGCACTTTTTTTCCCAATTCCACTGCCCAAATGTCGCATTTTCAAAGACAAGGTGCCATTCTATGTGAATGGCCTCTAAAAGTTTTGCATTATTTGATCTTTATAACAGCTGTGACTTAAAAGTCGCGTTAATTAGAATATCATTAGGAATCTGATTTTCTTGCATCTTCTTCATTGTACTGTGAGAACATCTTGACATCAACACACATTTACACATCAATAAAATGACGTTTTAAAGGCCGTTCATACATAACGCATTTTTGCGTGTCGTGTCTTGTGTCTTTCACAGCATCTCGCACATTATACGCCATTCTAAAAACACTGAGCTCAAGATTCTTCAGCTTTTAAAAACATGTCTCATGGCCTTGTGTTCATTTTCATTCCACTGAACCTGCATCCAAATGTGTTCTGTGTGAATGGCCATCTTAATAAATAATAAAACTATGATTTGACCTCTTTGATAATGAAATGCACAGCTGACGTGTCAGATTTGCTGATCAGCAGAAATAATAGTACAGTGTTCGCGTGTTTCTGGTTGTATAATGGCAGAAGGACAGTAAGTGTGTGGAGGAACAGTCAGTCGTGGCATTTGTAAAGGCCTGTATGCGCTCGTGCTCCACAGCACACAATACACACTCACGTCATGTCAGATCATATCAGCGCATCTGAATAAAGCCTTGAGTTCTGTTCATCTCGTGTGTGTGTGTGTGTGTGTGTGTGTGTGTGTGTGTGTGTGTGTGTGTGTGTGTGAGTCTAACTAATTGTTTTCTATTCAGTCAGCAGTTGCTGAGACACACGACAGAAACATGGAGAGTGTGACAAAGACACAACGATCAGGTACACACACTCACACACACACACACACACACACACACTGCCTCTGTTCTATTGGCTGAGGAGCTAATAAGATTATCTAATAACATAATAAGAACCCTGGTAACCAACCACAACGCTCTAGCGGTTGTGCAGACATGGAGAGTGTGACAAAACACACACGCACAGGTACACACACTCACACACACTGCCTCTGTTCTATTGGCTGAGAAGCTAATAAGATTATCTAATAACATAATAAGAACCCTGGTAACCAACCACAACGCTCTAGCGGTTGTGCAGAGTCACTTTGTGTGTTTAATTAGGGAGACATCTAAAATATGAAGTGTTGGGGATTCTCCTTGATCAGGATTGGGAACCAATGCACTACAGCATCGTGATCGTAATAGTTCATTATTCTGTTCATTATTCAGGGATATTATCAGCTGCAGATCTTCACCTGTCACATCTATTAATATAAGAGCGAATGTGTGTTTAATAACATTCAAATGCTTCAGATTCAGAGAGATGAGCAGTGATTATACATGAACTCTGTGCGTGTGAATGCAGCACGTGCCCTTTGAACACAAGATGCAATTTCCTGCCTTTTCACATGGAAATCATATTCAAATGGATCAGATAGTGAACGCTTCCCGCTGTCAATGGAATGCACAACTGCTGCCGTTTGTGTGTGTGTGTGTGTGTGTGTGTGTGTGTAGCTGTCAGCAGTCAGGAGACTCAAGGGCTGCAGATGGACGAGATCTTTATCACAGACGTGGCGTATTGTGAACAAGCAGCCGTCTTACTGAAACAAGCCAAACTACCACAGAACAACAGCAGCCAGTGCAGGAGAGACGACGGAGCGCTGCCGGTAAGACTCATTGTCTGCCTGTCTACAGTTACACACCATAGCAACACACTAAAAACACCATAGCAACTGCATAACAACACTCACTGTCCGCCTGTCTACAGAAACACACCATAGCA